CGACTTGGCGCCAAAGAACCGCGACACGGACGACGACGAGCTGCCCGACGACACGACGCTCATCGTCTTCTGCGCACGCGACTCGCGGCCCCGGTCCGGCGACGGCGGCGTGGGCGTGGGCGCGGCCACGGCGGTCGCGGGCGGGCGCACGCGCGGCGCGGAGATGGTCTCGACGGGCGACTTGGCGCGGTGACGCAGGTTCTCGAGGTTCGGCGCGTTCTGGAGCCACGACGGCTCGCGGCTGACCTCCGTGATCCCGTCGTCCGCACCGCCCGTGGCACCCGCGTACCTCAGCGGCGACTCGGGCGAGGGCGGCGCGAACGAGATCGCCGTCTTGCTTTCCATCGAGCTGGTGGATAGTCGGAGCCGATTGCGGTCCCCGGGTGGCAGTTCGCTGATAGAGGCGAGCGGGCTGGCGACGTATGGTTCCATTGCATGTGGGAGGGTTGTCAGCAGCGGTGTGAGAGGCGGGGAGTTGTACTGGATGGAGTGTCGGCTTGGTGTGGAGCTGCAGAGTGAGCTGCGGGACGTGGAGGAGGTCAGAGAGGGGGTATCGCAATCTCTGTGAGAGTTTGTGTTAAGAGGTTGAGTGAGCCGGATGGACGGGTATGATGGCCCGCTGAAGGACGAATCAATGGGCCTGCTCCTGTCATCAAAGTGGTCGAGCTCAGAATCCGAGGACCAGCCGTAGGACGTCGGCAGGGTGCGAGGTGACGGCATGGGGTCGTTCTGCACGTGAGCTTGCAATGCCTGGCCGTGCTCGGTTCTTTTTGATGTTTGATCAGCGACTTGTAATCTGCCGGTATTGCAGTCGTCGTCAAGGGGAATTGAATCTTTCTCTTGCACGGCGAGCAGAGATTGCGCATTCACCACAGTGGGGGAATGGAGTTCGGCGACGGCGCTTGTTTCGAAATCTGTATTTGTCGACAGCGCGCCCCAGGATCTCTCGGGTTTGAGTAATGATGGCGACGTGAGCATAGGCGAGGGACCTGGACCTGATTGACCCGGCCATAGTTGATCTGAGCATCCAGATTCAGATTACCACAAGTACAACGTTATATAGCAGACATCATCGGCAGCCTACCATCTGTGCCAGCAAAGCCCCTTGTGGCGTGCACGTGCGCATGACTTTTTCCGTCTGCGGCGCCGCTGGGACGCATCCAAGCATCCGACATCCCACGTGGGCGGGCAGTTGCAGGAGGCTCACTAGGTTTTCCAGCACCTCCCCCTCCCCCACTTCCACTGCCGGCGCCCTGGTCAGGGGTACGACCGCCGCTGCCACTACCGCCATCTTTACCTTGCCGGGTTCGTGCAGGTCTTTTCTGGTTGTACAACTAACAACCCGCGAGTTAGTCCGAGCGTCACACGGAGGGATCGACAGGCACTTTACCATCACGGTTTTAAGGGCACTGGAGACCGACAGCATCAGAAACTTTTGCCGACTGAACTATGACAAAGGAAAGCTTACCGAATTTGCAGGCTTCGACAACTACAGAGTGTTGCAACTTCATATACACCAACAGAGGTGGAATTTGACAATGCTCGATGCATAGCGTGTTTGACAAGTGATTGTAAGTGAGGGAGTTCATAATTCGTCGACAGCACTAGCAGTGCACTCAGCACTGCAGGCGCGTGTTGCAAGGGGGTAATAAGTGCTAGCGAATAGAAATATTGCACTAGCGCCAGCGTGATGGGGTATGGTTCCGTGAGAAGGAGTGCACGAGGAGTCAAGCGTGGATCAGGTCGAGGCTCTGAGTCTACCTGACCAGGAGCTTCGGGAAGGGGAATATTGCTTGAAGATAACGGGAGGGTATCGAGAGCCCGAGCGGCAGACTGCAGAAAACGTTTCCTCTGTTCCTTGAACCAAGGCCAACGGTCTTCGAGGACTTTGCGAGAGCATGGCACTCGGCGATCGTCGTCGCAAATGATCTCGAAGTCCGCTAGAACGCCCTCTTCCAGTGCAGCCAGCCCCATCTCTTGCATTCGGATGCCCAACTCCAGCCGCGGTGGCTGGTAAATGCCGAATGCCTCCAAGTCAATGACGGCGACATGATCCCAGCTCAACAGACGGCGATTGTAGTCATCGACGAGGTTGCCATTGCGATTTCCGAATATCAGAAACTTGTTGGCGTCGGCCCAGAGACAGCTTCTGAACCAGGAGCCGGAGGAAAGGGTGCTTCCGGGGTCGACTCGGGACCATGTCATGTTGATGAGATCGAGAGCCCAGACGGAGAAGGACTGGAAACTGTGGGCAAGGTAAGTACCCGCGATGATCAGATGGGTGCCAAGTATCGCGCCCGTGGGGAAGCGAAGTCCAGGTGGGAACGCGGTCCCAGACATGGATGTCGACTGGTCACTGATTTCGAAGTCGTTACCGGGAAGAGGCCTAAATACTTCCAGCTCTCGTTTCACGTCCGTAAACTGCGGGAATCTGAGCGACACGTGACGCATAGTGAGATAGATGAACTTACATTGTAGTTGCTGTAAAGATAGATGTCATTTGGAAATTCATCGGTCGCTGGCGCAGAATAGGGCAGATGGGAGAGAGATGCAGACGAAGTCATAGCCGAGGGAGAAGATGAACCAGCGTCGGCACGAAAGAAAGGCTTGGATGGACCGGCGTTGGAGTTTTTGAGCTCTTCTTGTGGTAGCCGTACTCGTAGGCTAGCTGCCACAGCAACACTTCGATAGGTCCCGCAATGTCGGGGATAATCGCGTCTTTGCACCCATGCCCTGTTATGCAAGTCGTAGACGTAGACGTCGTCCAGCCAGACATTGGACAGGTCTTGACCTCCAATAATAAACAAGCGGTCTCCGGACACCGAGGATAGGTGAGCGTAGCGTGCTTTAGGCATGGGGATAGAGGGATTGTCGAAGGGATGTGACCATGAAGAAGGCATCCAGCGTCGCGTTGAGAGGTCATAGAAGCGAACGTCGTTGAGAACGCAGAGATCATCAGCATTCTCAGCGTCAGGCTTGACGCCCATGCCTCCGAAGATGATGAGATAGTTGTTCCCTGGAATGGTCAGCACACCTGAAGACACGGGAGGTGATGGAAGACCTACAGGTATCAGCACTGTGAAAGTAGCGTGGCCCTGGAAGATCATCGTCGGGAGGTGTATTTATTCGCTCCCAATTCAAGGTCTCAAGGTCGAAGACGAACAAATCCGAGACCATCCTCCGTTCCGTGACCAAACGCCCACCCTGCAACGCGTAAACGAGGTGGTTCTTGCACGAAGTCATCGCCATTACTCACAAAGAGATACATCTTTGAGCCTACAACTGTAGTGGACGCGCCCTACATTGAAGAGAGGTCAATCGAAAAAAGCGCACGAGCAACATTATGACCACTTACGACGAGTTTGGGAGGGACATCGCCGGTTGTCTTGCGACAGAAAGTGGTCAGGTCGGAGACCGAGTGCATGTTGGGATGCGACTCGCGCACGAGGGGAGGAAACAGAGAGAGGAGGAGGAAACGGAGAGGGTGATGATGAAGAGCTAGAAGACGGGTGTTAGGATGTAAGTAGGCCGAGCATGGGCTTGGGAGCGGGGTGCACGGGGTCCGTCGTGCTAGCCACGCGTGTATTTATCTCAGATCGTTTCCCATCTTATCCGGTGCACGTCAAAGCGCTTGCCCCTCATCGAGTCCACTGCGATCATCGATTCCACGCTAATCTCGCCCGACCTCCTCCTGCAAACCAAAGCCCATGCTATATCTTGACTATAGTTAACTACGAGGCCCCCGCCCTCCCACGTCCTGCATTCGCGTAGTACGTACGCGTCGAATCCATCTTGTGCTACCTTCGAACCACAGGTTCTCATGGGAAGCAGGTGGTCTGTTCGTCAAGCTTATCGCAATCTGTCATTCCACGTACGTGATGCGAAAACCCGGCGAGGGTATCCCCACCTCAGGTCTCCGGGTTTTTTTAATCCAGACGCCGCCGGTCGTCGGCAGTCTGCACCCTCCCTGCTTCCTATAGGTCAGATTTTGCGCCAACCCTTGCCACCGACACTAGCAAACCACACGCCCCCCCAGGCTGCACCGGGACAAAATGCCTGCCGGCACTTTACGTCGTCAGTGTCAAGTTGCACAGCTCAGGCAAAGCCGACATCGGCTCAGCGGAAAACACGAAGCCCCCTCGGTCGGTATGGTTGCTTGAAGGGTTTTTGCATACCCTACATTTCTGCTTGACATCTCCAGGAACTTCGGATGGCTACGTGGGCCTCTCAACCACTTCAAAATCATCAATATTCAACTCACCCATGCTGAGCGTCGACTTCTGACCGAACCTCGTTCACACAGACTGTCATATTCCACGCGGAGGTCGTTTCTGGGGATTGGCAATGACCTTGGTGGGTCGGGTATCGCCCGAGGGCCCTCGCTGTATACTGTCGAAGGGGTCGGCATTGCCGATCTGAATGTCGTCCCGAATCCAAGATTTTGGCCAGGGACGGAGATTCGGAGAGCAACAGAGGCGATTACTTGCAACAAGGGGCGGAGGTGTCAAGTTGTCTGTCGAGTGCTTAGTTAGGAACGAGCCGTACCTTCCATTATCGAAGTCGAAGGCTAGGCCGTCTCAGGCACTTCTGTCGGGCGGGCCTGAATACAGGGCGCAAATATCAACGCCATATTTCATAGACAAGTTGAACATACGCGTGTGCAAAGTGAACATGAAGGGTGGGACGTCGACTTCGTCGAACATGTGGGCGAGCTTTGAGGAAAACCACGAAAAACATCGATGCCTCGTTCAGAGGGCTATGAACGGCTGACTGTACACATGTTGAGTAGACATTCAGCAAAGCAGAACGTACCAGCCAGTGTATATGAAAGGTCGAGAGTGAAGCTGAGCGCTCTCGCATACCGTGACTGTCAGGTACGTGACACATGACGCGTGACGCGACGTGGCGCGTCGCGCCGCGCGGGCTTCCCTGCTGAAAAGCTTGTTCTCCCTCTTCAAAGCAACCGTTTTTCGACGAGAAAAAAAGCAGAGGGTGCAAAAGGGCTCAGTCGGGAATTGAACCCGAGACCACTCACAATTGATCACGTGTTTCTTCACATGACGGGTCTGCACCCGAAGCGAGTATCATACTACTAGACCACTGAGCCGTGTACGTGTTATGGCCTTTGTGACTGTCGACCATACTCGGGGGTCAGTACCCCGTAACCCGCTTCTTACAGTCTGCAAAACAACCCGCATCTGTACTCAAGTGCGGTCAGTTCACGATATGATCATCGTTTCTAGCACTAGTCCTCCTCAATTATAACTTATTCCTCTCAACTTATTTCTGTGGCAAGGCAACGGGCGATCGAAAGCTGTGCTCTCCTGACGGCATTTGATGGCGTGAATACTGAAATGTGTGCGACAACGACTGCTGCTTTAGTTCTGAGTTTGAAATAAACGGAGGGTGGCGAAGCCAAGGGGCGAAAAAAAGGAAGCAGTGGGCGAGAGTCGAACCCGAAGCTTCAAAAAGTGAACAAGCCACGCTAACCGCT